TTTCCTTTACCTTTTATTGTAGGATCAAGTTGACTGCGCACACGATGGAAGTGTAAAATGATGAGTCCACTTGAGTTTTTCTTATGTCTGGGGCAACCTCTTCCGATCGCACCAGAACAAAATAGCTTTCTGCCGAAATATCGACAAGAGATACCTTCCTCCTAGCTAGATAAGTAATAGAAGAGTGTCAATCGAAGCGTAGACCTTGCTGAATCTTCTTACTCTAACTGAACGAAAATTGAAACCGCCTTTCATGAGTAGCCCTCTGGAGAGCGCCCCAAGAAGGAAACGTTACCAAACATTCGAATTCACTGTTCAAGTGAAGAGGATCGGATACAATCATGTGTCACTCCCAGCGCCTTACGGAGCGATAGACGTTACGTTTGGAGTCCAACAAGTATAAGCTCTGAGCTCCTACTTCTGCTTACCTTGGATGCCAACACAGAATAACATGAATAGACGGCTGAAGATCATGCTCTAGGCTGATGCGTTATTCCGATAGCGGAAAGTAGCGAAGATATCTGGAAAAGCTGCAGAAATATATGAAAATTGTGACGGAGAATAGGCTTCGGCTGTACATGAAGTAGGCCAAATTTCTCACCTCCGTGGAGTCTACGGAGCCAGTAGTACGCCTCCAATAGAAGTGTACAGGACTGCGGGTGACCTTTAGCCAACGATGATAGTGTGGACTAGGCTGTAAGCAGTCAAATTAACGTGGTATGAATAAACTGGACGAAGCCATTGGCATCCTCTTCAGTCGACAAAGCTCCAGGACACTCAAAGGAAGTGCTGCACCAGACAGTGATGAGGCCCAAGATGGTCTACAGCTCACAGTGCTGGCCCGTATGTAAAGGCTATGAAAGATAACTTACTCCATTAAAATGTGAATGCTCAGATGAGCTTGGCGCTGAACACGATTAGAGAAAGTCGTAGACGAAAACGTGAAGGTGGTCATGCAGGCATTTCCCATACAGGTGAACTAAGAGAGCAGTTGAATTCGAAGCTCACGAGTAGCGATCACAAAGATCTCCAAGGAAGTGATAACGAGTTCTGATGAAAAGAGCCTCGTCGAAACCAAAGTTACCCCAGAAAATAAAAGGAATTGGAGCCAACATGCAGGAGCAATGAACTCACGCTAAGGCGCAGGATCAACGCTTGGGAGAAGATCAAGTGAATGTTATCGATGGACAGGAAGCAGTTGGGGTAGGATTCCAGTTCTTATGAAAAGGCTGGAAAGTTGTGGAGCGTGTGTGCTTTGACAATGGTCATTAGCACTCTGAGCGTCAACACTCCTTGAAAAGGAAACCAGCACTACGAAGATGATCAAATTAATGATATTGTTCACATTCGCACTGCTGGATTCCTTTCTGGGAAAGAAACAGTATTCTAGCTTTTTCCCCTCACCCCCTATTTATACTTCTCCATGGGAAGGTAGTTCAGCTGTACATGACTGTCTGGGGAAATGCTCTGCGTTACAGTAGCAACATTCCCAAAAAAAGGTGCTTTGCAAATATGTTTTTCATCATCACTCACCTCTTCTCATTATTGCTATAAACGCACACATCATGGAGCATCGAAAATCACGTTGTCAATATGAATGCCTAATCAGCTGTTTGTCTATGTATCGTCCTGAGTATTATCCTGAGTATTACTACCCACATATGATGGGTAAGCAGAAAGGAGCATTTTTGAGTGTACAATCTGAATGAATAGCTTCAATGGGAGCAGCCTTGGTTAGGAGACGGAAGGTGACACCCACTGACAATTGAAAGTCGGTAGCGTTGAAAAAGCTCCGTCTTACCTCAACTTTTACAGACCTTCCTGATCAGGGTCTCCACCGAAGAAGCAGAACGACTCGTATACAAACAAGGAAGCTGGTGAAGATCGAACGCACGATTACTCACTTAGGAAAGAAACTTTTCCAATTTCTCCGGTACTGGTACGTTTTGAACCATAACCTTTGGGCTCTGGTTGAATTACTTTCTTTCTCTTTAATAATCTCTGCACCTAGAGTTTCTGCAATGAAGTAATTATCGTGCATGAATGATTTAAGCATTCAGATGCCTGTTTTATTACCTATCACGGCCTATCGCTCACTAACTGCGACTGAAACGATGATTCTACTGATTGTGCCGATTGTTAGATCTCATTTTTTGTTCGAAGAGCTTGCACAAACACACAGAAAATTGCTTCCAGCCTGCATATGGATCTATTTATGTCCTCATAGTACGGGAGAGAGAATTCAGCAAACGTACAGCAAATGAGCTCCAGTTATAACGTGTGCATCCGTTCCAGATCCCCACTTTCTTTCACCTTGTCAATCTTTTCAAATATATTCATTTCACCCGTCAGATTGGCGGGATATACAGAACTAATCACAGAGGTAAAATTTTACATTTTGTTGGTTTAAAGGCACAGCACACTGAAAAATGATTACTGAGGTTCCCCTTCAGGAGATGGACCTACGGCTTCCAAGGAGAACATGTGCTTATTGTCAGGTAGAAGAACAAGGCGTTATAAGGGCTCCAAGAACGGCTTGGTCGACTTATACGCCCAAAAGTGGCCGTGTTATGACGGCCTTGTTAAGTCAGCACCATTCACAATGAAGCGGCTGGACGACAATGAATAGTACACCTATGTGGGAGGCATTCAAACGGTTAAGCCGAACAACTTCGGACAACTACCCTCGAGCTAGTTTTCGTGAACTGCGCTCTTGAATTTTCATGAAGTATCCACCTACTCTTCGTGAAGTATCAGTAGTGATGAGAATGTGATTTTTATNGGTCGGATGTTATATTTGCTAGTAAGGGTAGTTATCCCGCGCTGCCAAGAGAATGCTTTTAAGCAAAAATAGAATAGGATAATGAATGAAGCCTGAATGCTGAATAAATCGTGTAGAATACGGAAAGTCACGTCCTAATGTGTGCTCAGACTTTGTAGCAGAAAGAGAAGAGGGCGTCCTGTGCCATCAAATGGTAATACTAAGTCTCAGTTCCACCTTTTCTCCACAGGATCATCTGAGTTTCCATCCTTCTCTATCTATACTTCTACCACAACTAAAAATATGAGGTACAAAAATTAGTACATTATAAGCCACAACTTTAATCATATTGTTGACATGAACAAGGAGATAATGATGTTGACGTTGAATGCAGGAATTTCGACCACATTCCAGCGAGTTTCAGATTGAGATCGTCTCTGGTTTATCAAATAGAATCGACACGTGGACCTGAAAATTCCCTTTCGGCCGAGGCTGGTTCACAAACAGTTTTCAATCAAGAGGCAGCGGGAGCGAAGGGTTCCAAGAGTGCAACTGAAACGGAAATGTTCATAGGCCTTGAAGCTAAGAAAGAAAAAAAAACACTGCGAATCAGCTGAACGACTTTTATTTCCTACATTTTGAGAAATAAAGTGGCTGTCTTCTTGTGGAGATGGTATTGTTTACCATTTGCATTTACCGCTCTACCATTTTCATGGCATGGGAATCTTGCATCGATACTTCCTAGGCCAACAAAGCCTGTTATCCCCATCCGGTCGTTATTTGACTCGTTTACGACGATAGAGCCGTGACTCTCACGTCCCACGCCCTCTACAGCTCATGGGTCCGGGTATCTTCTTCTCGAACACTGCGTCGCGCTCGCCGCATCCACCGCGTATCGCAGAAAGGAGATGGACGATTGGAGCGCGCATTTTGTGAGTTAGGAAGTCCTTTAATTATTTGAATTTTTTAGGCGCTTCCTTCAACTCCAATGATCGTCCATAGTATAAGTAGAAGGAGTCATCCCGAACAATCAAGTATAATGAACATAAGGATGAAAAAAAAACAGAAAAAACAATCAAACAATCAGAAAAGAAAGGCAATCAACGAAAAATACTGCAACCAGTCGATTGACGGGGAGGCGGATTGCAGTTCGAAGACGCGGGACAATTAAAAAAGAGTCGCCGCATGCCGCAAAGCGAACGTGGGAAATCGGGGAGAGTTTCCCACCCACAATTCATTGTCAAGTCGTATACGCATTCGAATGAGACTAAGATTCTGAAGGTGTTGATTAGTAACAAACAATTTAATTTTCATCCCTCACTAATTTTCTTCTACATACTTGCACCATCACCATTGCTATAGGTTTAGCGTCATTTTCTTTCAGTTTTATCGTCATTCAGTAATGAGCCCATGAATTTTGGATTCAGAAAGTGCCTACTTTCATTGAAACCCTACTAAACAGCTTTCATGAGTGAAAATGGGAACTTTGGAGATTTCTA